AGTAGGTCTAGGAATATTTTAAGTCTTAGCCACACACTGTACCCAGACCCAACCCCCTTCTGTGTCCCTAATGCTTGCTGTATTTCCTACTTCATTAAGTCCAGTATCATTAGAACAAAGCAGAGTTTTCCCTTGAAACCAAAGCACATAGTCCAATCCAAAAAATGAAACTATTTTATTTTTTTCTCATTGTGAGTGCTAATATGGGAAACCATCACTCAGTGGCAATAATATTCAACTGGGTACAGCAAGAACTAGAGTTCCAGTTTACCTCAGTCATTATATGTTATAATTCCTATGACAAAAAAGGAAGATGCATCTTTACATCAAAGCCTGATTTCTTGGGTTATTTTTTAAAGCATGAGTCAAAGTGTAAGAGGAGGAAAGAGTATCCCACATAGAATGAAAAACAATTGACAATTTGGTTCCACAACACTAGTTTTAACCTCCAGGGTACTGGCATTTAATCCTGGCTGTAAGCTAGAATCAACAGGGGATTTAAAGTGAAAACAAAACAAACTGATATCCAAAGTTCCCAATTAAATTCAAATTCCTAGGGGAAGGTCCTAGGCATCATAAATGTATAAAATGCCCTCAAGTGATTCAAAGGGTCAGATAGAAGTGAGATTTCTGCATCTTATGGAATGTCAAAGAGATAAGTGTACTCTCATATTCATTGCAACGTTACTCCAGTGGGCAAAACATGGAAGCCAAATAGGTGTCCATTAGTAGATGAATGAATAAGGGAAATGTGGTATACACAGTGGACTACTAAGAAGTCTTTAAACAGAATGACCCTCAGTCATTTCCAACAACATGGATGGAACTAGCGGACATGCTGCCAAGTGAAATAATCCAGGCACAGGAAGACAAACACCACAGGATCTCAATTACATGTGGAATATTAAAAATTTGCTGCCATAGAATCAGAAGAGAAAGGTGTTTACCATAGTGGGTAGATGATAGTGAAAAGGGAGATGTCCTTTAAAGCATACAAGTTGTAGTTAGACTGGAGAAATGAGTTTTAGTAATCTGCACGGGACCACAGTTAATAACAACATATTGTTCATTTAAGATTTTCCAAAAAGATAGATTTTTAATGTTTGCACCACAAAAAAATAACTTGATGTATATATTTGTTACCTTGATTGAATCTTTCTACAATGTCTATATTGATTACATTGTAGTCCATAAATATGCAGTTATTATTAGATTTGAGATCTGCTGAGCTTACACAATACTCTTACCTTAATAAGTGAATAGTTATAAATACATATAGTCTGACCACACCACCTCAAATTCACAAGAGGGGAAAAAAAAGGCTGAATAGAAAAATCTGGAGTATAAAGACTCACAATTCTTCTTTCCAGGTTTAGCCTCACAAAGAAGAAAATATGGCCTTCATCTTTTTTTAAAAAAATTGTCCAGGCAGCACAGAAGCAAAATGAAAGAAAGTATGGGTAAAAAGGAAGAGGTGACAGAGTCATATCAAGATAGGAAGGAGGAGAATGGCTGAAACTGGGGGTGTTGGAGTAATAAACCAGTCTCCACTGATGAGCTGTAGGAAATATCAAAGGCACATTTGCAGAATATTTCCTTTTCAGTAATTGTACAGACTCCCTTGCACTTTTCTACTAAGCACTTTTCTCCTTGGCAGATTGAAGAATGTTTTACCAACTAAATGCATCTCAGTAATATCCAGAGCTCAGGTCCAACATAATCACAAGTTGCCTTGTTATTATGGAGGTAGCAGCCCCATTTAATAACATATTAAATGCATTATTCATTTATGTAACTCAGACCCAGGGACAGCTGCTGGGATGAAAATAGAACCATTCTGTAATGCAAAAAGCAGGTGTGTGCTTACTTGAGTAAATTAACTCTGTATTTCTGCACAATTTTCTTCTAAATTTCAGGGACAGGTCTGGTAGGGCTAATGTGATGCCATTTTCATCCAAGAAATAAAATGGTTTCAGAATGGTTTTTTTTAATGAGCATTCAAAAAAAATCACCAACAGCCTTCTCTGTGGCAGAATCCCAGGAGGATAGATTCATGCTTTGGGTTGAAGCAGAACTCATGTTGCTGCAGGATTTAGAAGAACCTCAGGTCAGAATGGGTGACAAACAAAAGAAATACTCTGCACCTCATGATGCCAACTGCTCGCCAAGATGGAGCCACAGGTGTGTTTGATGCTATGCAATTAAAAAACATAACCTGCCTTTAGTTTGCACACTGCCACCCCTCTGAAACCAGCAGGCAGTTTCTAATGCACAGTTAAACTCCCTGAGATGCCATGATTATTACGGAGGGTTTTGCTGGTCATTTTCTTGCTACTATTGCTGTTACCAAAATGTTTTCATTCTCCAACGTATGCACCATGGGAGTTTTTTTCCCCCTCTTTCCTCTCCCACCTGCCCTATTTTCTCTCTTAATCAGTTTACACTCATAAAATCATAAAAGGGAATTTCTTTTCTAGGCTGATGTTCAAATGGCTCAGGCATGACAGTGACCCAGCAGAATGGGCGGTGATCTAAGTGCTGGAGCTGGAATTTGGAGGCTGCCCATTCAGCTAGGTGTTAACTCCTTAGTTGATGGATTATGAGGAGAAGCAAGGACTCCCAGGCTAGAGATCAGCACGGCTCATTTGGTGGGTGAGGGGTGAGTGTTTGGGGCAGCAGTAATAACTGATGCTATGCTGGTATGTCAACATGTAAACTGATACAGTCATGCCAGTGAGCTAGATTCTGAGCTCTGCTTATTTGAGCGCAAGGAGACCCTCAAGGAGGTTTAAAGTTTATACATTTCTCAGGAATCTTGTGAAATCATGCAATTCAAATAATTTCTATTATATGAATCATGAAGACCTCTTTAGGAGTATAGATGTGGCTCAATCTTACTACTGTAAAGAGGCAGTACAGGGTAATAGTAAAGAAAGGATGTATTATAGGGATAAATAATCCAAATTGGCCATGCAAGAGAACACAGAAGCAGAAGGAGCAGAAGAAAATAAGTGGTTTCAAGAAGATTAGAAAGAGATTTGGATGGAGCAGAGTGAGCTGGCTGGGGAGAAACTTCAGAAAAAGTAGAATAAAATCATCTTGTAGGGGGCTTATGTGAAGAATTAGAGGATTCGCAGTTTATCTGGAGGGCATTTGGAAACCATGAAGCTTGTGAACAGGGAATAGAAATAACAATAATAACTGAAAATAGTTGAAAACATTTCACAAGTACTTGCTAAGTGATAGGGCAGTTTTCAGCAATCTGGGTACATAAATTCATGGAATTCTTGCACCGACCCCATGACATGAGTTAAGTATTAATGGTTGACCTTGTGCTGATCCATAATGTCCAAAGTGCTTTTTCAAGTTTCTCATTGATTATTTAACCCTGCTTTTAGCTTTTCAATTCTGAGATTCAGGAACAGAGGGAAGGACATTGGCTAGATGTAGATGAATTGGAAAACTGCCTGCAGCTCAGATAGATCCAATCTATTGCCAGTGTTGTCAAGTTTTCCTGGAACCTAGTTTTACCCATTCTTTTATGTACTGTGTGAACTTTTCATGGTATAGTCACCAAGCTGAGTAGTAGTGACAAAGACTACATAGCCTACAAAGCAAAAGGCTTATTAGCTGGCCTCTTAAAAGTTTACCAACCTTGGTCTAGTATATTTTGATTTCTTCCAATTTATGTTCTACTACTAACTCTGGAAAAGTGAATTTGAGAGATCAACTATAACTACAGGGGTTGCCGAGCACCTCAGGGGGGAAAAACGATGAATTGGTAATACTGAATCTCAAAGTTCTTAAAGATTGGTCATCCTGAATATACAGATTCTTATTTACCATGAAGCTGATAAATTTCTAATAAATTGAAAGGGACATATTTGTAAGATAATTCATTTATTCTTTTATTAGAGCTAAAATGAAAATAAGCAAAAGTTTGAAGGATTTACTCAGAATGCAAAAACTGAAGCCTCCTTGGTGTAAGGTTTCAATAGTTCAATTAGTATACCTTCTCAAGAAATGATTAGAAATTACCAAATTTAGCCAGCTTTTTCTGTACTATGTCATTATTGTAGCATCCTTTCTCTGAATTGTAAGTTCCCTTGCCATCTATGCAGTAGTCCCCCTTTATCCACAGTTTCAGGTACCCATGGTCAACTGCAGCCAAAAAATATTAAATGGAAAATTCCAGAAATACGTTTTATTAGTTTTCAACTGTGTCTCATTCTGAGCAGTGAGGTGAATCCATGCCTAACTCTACATCACAATGCCTTTGTCGTTCAGTTAACAGCGTCTCATCATGTAGCCATTGTTCACCTCCCATCATCATAGGAAGATACTGGGAGTTCAGTAAGATATTGGGAGAGAGAGAGGGAGACAGAGAGAGACCACATTCACACCAATGTTATTATAGTCTATTATTGAAATTGTTCTCTTTTATTGTTATTGTTGTTAATCTCTTATTGTATCTAATTTGTAAATCACACTTTCTAATAGACATATGTGTATAGGGAAAAGCTTGTATTTATCAGGTTTGTTACTATTCATAGTTCAGGCATCAAGGGGATCTTAGAACATATGCCCAGGACTGTATTATTCATTCTGGTCCTTAATTATATGTTCTTTAAATGATCTCCTTAATTATCGACTTATGTCTCTTCATCCTGATTTTTGACTTAGTGTAGGGACAATGTCTTCCACTGTGTGCATTTCCTACAGTTCTGAAATGAAGAAGTGATTCATCAGTTAATTCGATGAATCAAAGAAGTCGATTAAGATGCAAATAATAGGTAACAATTTGTTGCTCCAATTATTTCTCTCTATTTATCTCTATTGGAAGCTAGATATGAATCAGCCCTAATGCTCAGAGTAACAAGGAAGGTAGGTGGATGATGTCCCTGATGGTCCTCAGGGCCAAGCAGCTCAGTGTAGTAAAATCATGGGAGTGATCTTCTTTGTAAAGAGCTAGTTGACAATTTGAGCTTTTCTCCTTTTAGGTATAGAAAGGTGGTTTCCAATAACTGCACTGATGGCGTGCGAGAACAGTACACAGCCAAACCACAGAAGTGTCCGGGGAAGGCCCCTCGTGGCCTCCGGATCGTCACTGCAGATGGAAAGCTGACTGCAGAACAGGGGCACAATGTCACTCTCATGGTGCAGCTGGAAGAGGTAGGCTGATTCCTGTCTCCCTCTCACCTTCTAGAGCTGGTGATTTTGTTCTAACAAAGCATAGTTCCCTTTGCGTATCTTTTTTAACCTTCTCATTTTTGATGCAGTGGTTTCTTGGTCTTTTAACTTTGCTTTATTGGTACTTTCAGCAAAATATATTCTCAGGATACATTAACAGTATTCCCAGAGTAATTTAACCCACACATATACTCACTGACCTAACAGATGCTAATGCTTTTGCCCTCTCAGCCTCACTTCTTGGCTTTTTAATTTTTTTTTCAAAGGGAACAAGCTGGCCAAACATACATCACGAAGGCCAATCTAAACATCACCAAGTCTAATATCTTTGACAGTTGAGAGCTTGTATTTTGGTAACACCTGAGGGCTATCATTATGAGCATCAGTTATTGTTTGCCAAACTATGGTTGTCTGAAATTTCTGACTACATAGACGGCAGATAAGATGAAGGTTCTCCTATGAGGTTTAGAATGCACACAGGATTTTTGTCATCTTGTAAATGAAGAAGAAGGCCTCCCAGGACAAGTACTTTCATTACATTATTTCAGTTATTACACCAGGCAGTCCTACCATATTTTAGGGGAAGCTGAAATGTGCCAAGCACTGTACTGGGCCAAGCAAATAAAAAGGGATTTTAAAAGTCAATATTAAATATATACCATTGCCTTCCAGTTTCCTCTTCTGACAGCTCTTGGCTTCAGGTCTTTGACATGCATGGACTCCCCTGGAGAGCATGTTCAAATGCTGTGTTTTGGCCACATCCCCAAAGATTTTCATTTGGAGAGTTGATGGAGCCTAAGAATTCCTTTTTGGAGCAAGTTCACAGGTTATACCTTGTGCTTGGAGGAAAACAAACAAAAACAATGTCAATGTTTTTGGGAGAGGACAAATAAGGAGAGAACAAAATCATAGGCTCTGCGGCATGACTTGAAAGAAAAAGGTGAAGTAATTAGGATTGCTTTGTCAGGTTACATCAAAATTATTTGTATTTTTGTTCCTATCGGATAAATGAATATTGAGTTTGAAACTGTGGCTTAGATAATGCTTTCCTTCTGGTCCAAGGGCTACTTAAAAACCAGTGCTTTAATCTAATACTCTTTTCCTAATACTCCTAAATGAGTGCCTTTCAAGACCAATATTCTAAATACTGAGATTTCCCCCAAATCCTGTAGTTGGAACTAGAATTATACAAGTTAATTTAGGTCAATTGGAATTGCTTGTATTTCACATAAATAAATTCTGTGGGGATTTCTGCCTCAGGCTATGACAGATTAGCTTGCAGCAAACCAAATCAAGAAGACTGGGAAGCTAAGTTCTCTTCTCGAGAGATGAGGGATTCGAAGGGATTAGTACAATATTTTATCTTATATTTCTCTTCAAGAACTTTGTCAATTGATATATTATACTGTATAATAGGCTTGGATTTCAGATTCCTAAATAAGACCAGACAGAAAGTGTTGGCTAAAAAGGAATAATAATAATAATAATAATAATAATAATAATAAAAAGATAAGAAATAAAGGAAATGAGTAGTAGAGCACTTGGTTAGCCTGTGTGAGGCACTGGATTTGATGCTCAGCACCACATAAATAAATAGATAAAATAAAGTACTATGTCCATATACAACTAAAAAAAATGGTAGAAAATGATGAAATGATAGGTAGGTCTAACACAGATGGAATTATAGGCCTAGCAAAGAGGGACATAAGGATCAAGCATCACTTCTGAAGAAACAGTGGCTAAGAATGTTCTTAGAGTCAAGAAATGGAACAGAATCAAGAAACAGAGGTATATAAAAATATATGTTTATGTATAATCTAATGAAATGAATATATATGAGTATTTATACTTACAGAGTATGCATATATATATTTTTTTCAGTAACAAATGCATAAATATCAATAAACAAATCATAATCTTTTCAATAATGGTGCTGCAACATTGAATATCTACATGGGATATTGAGGCCATTGACTATGTTTTCCCATAATACGAGAAATAATTCTCACTGGACTGTCAATCTAATTTTGAAAGATAAAACCTAACTTTCTAAAAGGAAACAAGAGTATCTTCATAACCTTGAGTTTGACAAAGATTTTTTTTTAAAGGAAACAACCCGCTGGGCATAAAGAATCTACGGTTTAGAGCACATTAACAAATACTATATAAAATCAAACAAAATATAGTACTTCGTCTTTAGATCTTTGTGGGGAAAAAAATCTCTGTTTGATTCTTAGGGAAGAATTCATTTCCTAGACCAACCTTTTACACTGTTTACCTGCATTGTATATTTCCCAGAGACACATAGAACCTGATTATGATTCCCCAAAAGGTATCTCTTTTGAAGTAGTAGATGCTTATTCTGTTGCTCCGTTTCTTAGAACATAGTAAAGCACTCTCTAAAGTAAGTCCTTTTGCTCCTGGTCAGCTCAGACCTTTGCACAAATGAGAACACACTTGAGGGGCATGGCCTTGTCTCAGTTCCATCTGGCTTTCCAAATAACAATGATCATCAGGCATTTCACATTGGGCTGCCTAACATGGGAAAATGGGAACAGACTGGGTGACCTGGTACTAAGATGTGTGAATTCATGCCTTCTGCTCTTAGGAAGGGAAAAAAATATTAAGTCAATTCATTCCACTTGAGTGGGTAAAGCTACATTGGCAGGGATGAAGTCTGCTGCCTTCTGCTGTCAGACATGGCCCCTGGATGCTCTTATCTCCTGTGCAGACATGGAAGCCAAGAAAACTGACTCCCATCAGGAGGCCCTGGAGATCACACATTTGAATATGTGATTCTGTGCTTATTCTTCACAGACTCTTGCAGAAACAACTGACTCAACAGTTTGTTGCTCTCTTGATTATGCACATAGGCATGTGTGATAAAAGTAATGAACAAGGAAGAGTAAAGGTCTCTGTGTATCCAGGGAGCACTGAACTTTGGCACAATTAAATGACAATTTGGATGTACATTTATTGAGCACTATCAGTTCTAGTTTGCAAGTGCATCACTTGGATTATCTCATTTAGATCTCACAATGCTCTATGTTAATAGGTGGTGTCATATTTGCCATTTATAGATGATGTAGCTGAGGCACAAAAAAGCAAAGTAACTTAGCTGAGATCATACACATACTAAGTAGTAGACTCAGGAGTCGAGTTCAAGCTTGTAGCATCTTATCTTTCTATAGCTTCTTTATGATAGAAAGAAACATTTTCTGGGCAAGAACTTCCTATAGTTTCTGTGCCTCCATAGAAACCCTTGGCTGGGGGCAGATAGTAACAAAGATAAAGAAGTAGAAAGGAAAACCAACACCATCTCTGCCCAAGCCAGTTTGGCCTACAGGTGGTCCTGTATTGTCAGACACTAGTTGGCAAATCTACCAATATATTTCTCCTTTTCTCAGATGATTTATACTTTCAGATCAGTTTATTGAAAAACATTTCAGCAAAGAGAGATACTAAATCCTCTCTTGGGTTTCTCCCTCTTTGCAAAACTATGCCTTTCATGAATGCCTACTTATATCTGACATTGTTGAATTTATTCTAAAGAGTATTGAAAATCATAGGCTATGAATGCAGTACCGAAGGAGTTTAGAATCCATGTATAGTAAATCACATTTCTCCTGTAGCTTAGGTATGAATTAAAATGTAATTATTTAATAAAAATTAAATCCCACTAAAACAATTTTAAAATTCCCCCCATAACTGACAGCACATGTTGTTTCTAAATCCTCCTCAGAAATCTCTTGAGCATTCACTTCTCACTTGAACTTGATGCACCTAATTTACTTCGGAAATAGTGTCTCACTCATGCCCAATATCTAGGGCCAAGTGTTATAACAATAGGAATATTTAATGTCATTCCTCTGATACCTGAAAAATAGCAAGTCTTTCCAGTGCCAAAGAGATTCAGAGGTCCCTGCTACCTTCTGATGTGACATAATGGTTGTGATTAATGCAGAAGTGAATGAAAGACTCCCCTTCCCTAGAGGGATATTTTTTTTCATTTGTGCACTGAAGCCTGTGTCTCTGTTTCATTGTTCAACTTTCTCCTATAGTCTTGTGGTCCCTCTTGGGCTTGGAGGGTTATGGGCTGATGAAGCCCTCTTTGTTTGTTCTCATTTACTTACATCCAAACCCCTCCACATAGTTTCCATCTCCTCTGCCTATTAACTGAAGCACCATAAGGCTAGGGAAACAATAGTTAGATGTATATCTATTTATTTGTTCTTCAATATATATATTTCTAAGCACCAATTTTATGTCATACTTTTCATTCACAAGTAGACTTACTTTAGATGTAAGTGGGAATAATGTTTTTGAGTTAACGAGGACCTCTGCTATATTGAACACTATGTAAAAATCCATCCATATGAAGCATAAATGACTAAAAAGTGCAGAACAAAAAAAAAACAAATTTATTGCATCACATTATAATAATATTTTTGACATTCTCAAATAAACTATGAATATCATTAAGGTAAGAATCATGTCACTTCTAGTTGCATATTGATAGAGCACATTTATAGAGAAAAAATAACACAATAAATATGTGTGGATTTAAATAAGCTTCTCCAGGAAGAACAGAGATAAAGCCCAAACTTGGAAGGAAAAGACTGTTGAAGTTTGAATACCTTACAAAACAGGTTAAAATCTCCATCTGAAATCTAAGTCTCTTCCTTTATCCTCTAATTGTGCATGTCCTAATTGAAACACAGGAATACATGAAGCCAGGGCCAGTGACCCATGCCTGTAATTCTTGCTTCTCAGGAAGCTAACACAGAAGGACCACAAGTTCAAGAACAGCCTGGGAAATTTATCAAGACTCCATCTCAAAAGTGAAAAGGGCTTTGGATGGCCTTCAGATGTAGAACACTTGCCTAACATGAGTGAGGTCCTG